GCCTCAATGTGCATCCACTTAGCTATAAATGTCTCTAATTTCTCATTTTTTATGGCTGAGTAGTACTCCATTTTATAAGAAAAACACATTTTCTTTATCCAGTCTCCAGTTGATGGGAATTTGGTCTGTTTCCAAGCTTTAGCTATCACAAACTGTGCTGCTATGAACAAGGGCACACATATATCACTGTGGTATGATTCTTTTAATTCTTTGGGGAAGATGCCCAGCAGCGGAATAGCTGGGTCAAATGGGACTTCCAGTCCTAGTTCTTTGAGGTATCTCCATACTGACTGAAATTCTTAATAATTCAATTTTTCAAAGATCCATGGAAGATCATGATCTCTGCTCCTTTCAACATATTTCCATAATATATAACTTTCTTTCATTGAGTTTAATCATATTTTCATTTGGCTCATTCTTGCTGTCCTGTTTAGGTCCTGCTATTTCAAAATTACACAAAAACATTTCTAAAAAAGATGACTCCAAATACCACATTCTGAACTTGACCTTAGTTTTTAGGATGTACCCTTTTGAATGCCTAAAATCTCTCTGCTGATTATGATCATGAGATTAAATTTTTAATACTAAAAATGCACATTTTTAGCTCAGAATAGTAAATGACCTGCTAGCTGTGGTATCACTATTGTTGATCATTAGCCTTTATCATAAGGACAAGTTGAACAGGTTTTAGAAGAATTGCAGTCCCTATGTGTAAATATTATTTTGAAAAATATGAAAAAAGTATGAATAAGAGTATAGGAGAGCCTATAGATGCATTTTAAGAGCTATATCATAAATGTACTTTATAAACATACATGTGCTAAGGATGTTATAAACTTTAGAGTATTTATTACATTGGTAAACTTTCCTGGTATTTTTTTTCAAAAGCCCAACACCCACAATTTAACAGAGGAGAGGTTTAATCAGACTCACAGTATTGGCAGCTTCAATATATGAAAGTCTGAGGGATTGGGGAAAGGAAAGAAGGGAATGGAATTTATATGAGAAAAGGAAAAACATGGAAACAAAGTCTTTGTAAATAGAGAGGGGTGGAGGGGTTGAAGGGAGGGCAGGGAAATGAGGAAAACAATAAGAACCAAGATATATTATGTAAAGGTACAAACTTCCCATGATGAATGTCATTATATTGTATACCTAAAATGTACCAATAATGGCAGAAAGGTATGGTGGAGAAAGGTTGCTCACCATATGATGGCCAGGAAGAAAAACAGAGGAACAATGCCCAAGAGGAAGGGGCCAGGGACCAGATATATACCCAAGGTTAGGCCTTCAGGACCTAGCCAGACATTTCCAGAAGTGTGCTTTATTAATCTCTCAGGAAGCTTCCAAATCAATCAAGTTAACAATTAAGCTTAATCATCATATTCTACCCTTGTCAACTTGACACTCAAATATATCTCCTCAAACCACAGTTAATCTCCAAATAAAGGCAATTACAAATTCATAACTCTGTCAACCAAAAAAGTAATAACCCCTTCCCTCAAAGTCTCAACAGTTTTAACATTGCTCAAAAGTGAAAGTCAAAATCTCCTCTGAGAATCAAGGCAAACTTAACTGTGAATCTCTATAAAATTCAAAAAACAAGTTATTTAATACTAAAATACAATGACACAAGATAAATATTTTCATTCCAAAAGGGTTGAACAGGGGATAGAAAAAAATCAGACCAAAAAGACCTAAACCCAGTAGAGCCAACATTAAAGCCTTAGCTCCATGTTCTAGCATTCAGAGCACATGGTGGAAAGATGTGAGCTTCAAAGACATACAGTCAGTTCCACTGTATGGCCTCACTGGTTGTGGCCCACATGCCCACTCTCTCAGGTTGGCTCTATTCTCTATCTGCAACTTTCTTCGTTCCTAGCATCTCTGACTTCCTGTTACCTTTCATTGTATTCCCTTAGCTTCACACAACTACTTCTCAGAGCCATACTGTCTGGCCTTCCAGGCCTTCCTTTCAAGTCTGGATGAATGTATACATGATTTCACAACTCTTGCATTCTGCATGCCTGAACAACCAACATCACCCAGATGATGCCAAAATATGCCACCATTTTGAACAGTAGCCAGACTCTCTCAGATCATGGCTGCAGCAGCCTCTGATTACTGGATAGTGAAACAAATCCCAGAGAACCAATTTCCTAGATGGTCCTGTCTTGAGAAGGGGGCTTAGGAACTCTCTTCTCAAATGAAAGGTTCACACTTTTGCACCCTTCAACTTGAAATGTGTCAGGTCTTGCTTGTTCCTGAATTGCCTTCAAGGCGTCTTTCTTCTTGTCCTCATTCAATGTACATGGTTTCTTTTTAATGGCACCAAAGTCATTAGCAAGCTCACCTCCTTTGTCCCTGAATTCAAGGTAGTTCTATTCTGGCCAAAATTTAGGTTTTCTGATTTTTCTC